CACCTGAGGCTGTCGCTGTTGACGGTGAACACCTGAGGCTGTCGCTGTTGACGGTGAACACCTGAGGCTGTCGCTGTTGACGGTGAACACCTGAGGCTGTCGCTGTTGACGGTGAACACCTGAGGGCACAAATGAACAGTTTGAGGCACTGAAAATAATGTGTTTCAGTCTGTTTACCTTCGTTGATGTTCGCCTCAGTACCATACCGGAACACAGTTACCCAGCCCTAGTTGTATCATATATTTACCCTTGTATGGCAGGCCATTATATTACTTAATAATTAGACAGGCCTTTTTGCCATAACACTAAAAAATATGGTAGGTCATTGAATCATGTAATCAGCGATGTATGGCAGACTTTTCTCATAAAAATAAAGATTGGCAGGGCGTTGGATTTTTTATTTTCTCATGTATGGAAGGCCTTTTAGGAGTATGGCAAGTTATTGTATCATATAATTAATGAGGTGTGATAGGTTGTTGTGTCATACGATTTAGAAATATGGCAGGTGATTTAATCATTTCATGTACATATGGCGGGTAATTTATCATATAATTAAAAATACAGCATATATATTTTTTCCATTTTAAACTTTATTCAGTTTCAGAATATTTTTTAACAAACCCTGGCCTCAGCTGAGCTCCGTAGGTCACTTCCTGGACGTGTGGAGTCGGTCCTGATGCTGTCTGCTGCATCGACAGGAGCTGGTGACAGAACGCCACATGCAGTCCATCTTCACAGACGTGATGAAGCTGGACCTGCAGGACCCGGCTCACTACTCAGTCCTCACCAGCTGGGCGGGGCACACGGCCAGTCCCGGCGCCGCCACGGCCTGGATCAGTTTCCACGGAGACGCCCACTTCGCGCTGGCCTCGCCCGCCGGGGGCATCACCGTGGTGACGCTCCCACCTCACGGCACCCAGGGTGAGTTCACGAGACCTGGCTGTGAGTGTGCACGTTGACGCCGTGAGCGTGCACGTTGACGCTGCGTGTGTCCTCAGGCGGCGTGTCGGTGGTGGAGCTGAAGAGGAGCTCGGTGATGAGGAGGATCTCCGGCTGGATGCCCACAGCCATCCGGGGGGATCAGAGTCCGGCTGACCTGGTTCTGAGTCTGGCGGTCCGGGAGCTGGAGGAAGACTCCTTCATCTTCGCTCTGGGTCAGAACCACAGGCTGCGCATGTGGTCGCTCACGGTGAGTCCTGGATCTCAGAGACGTTATTTATCAGCTGTAGGATGGACAGAGTCAGGAAGTGTGGGAACGACTGAAGCAACCAGCGACATGTTTGATGATTAATAATCGATTAATCTGTCAATTATTTGTTCGATTAATCGGCCAAATCATTGAAACACGTAATTAAATTAATATAAGTAGATATTAATCAATTTAATTCCTGTATAAATTAGGGATGCATGTTATTGATTAATCTAAAGATGATTTATAGATTGACTAATGATTAATTGATAAGCAGCCATTTTCTTAAAAAACAGTTTTCTATTGAATCAAGAGGGTCTTTTCATAAAATGAAGTGTTTTTTCTATAATATGCTAAATTAAAAAAGAAGCACATCATAAATATTTTCAGTTGATTTTGCTGCTGTATTAAACACTGACTGGAAAACAAAATGTGGATTTCTCATACATTAAAAACTTGGTTATAGCTATAAAACATAACAAAACAGACATTTAATAGGCTGCTGAATGAGGAAAACAGATAAAAAGAATAAAATATGATTTTTAGATGTAAAACTTTTATTAATTTATTATAATTAGAATTTATTTGCATTTAGAATTTATGGTTTTTCTCTAATTCTTTGTTTTGCTTGCTTCTTGTTGGTTCTGTCTGTGGCTAAACCGACCCAGTAAGTGGTTCTGAAGCAGCCCCCCATCCCTCCCCCTCCCTTACTGAGTCGGACCAGGAGTTCTGCTCGCATCTTTTTTTTTACTTCATCCTGAACCTTTTTGCTGTTTATTAAATAACTTTGAGCCTCGATCAGAAATTAAAAAAAGGCTGGATGTTTTTCTGGTCCAAGAGGAGGAACCAATGGTGGACGAGGGTTTTTATTTATTTATTTATTTTTACCCCCACGGGACGTGTTTCCTCCTCGCGATGCGGCTCGCATCAGATCAGACCGTCTTTTAAAAAAATTAAATGTGGCGTATATTTTTTATCATAACTTAGATCTACTTGGCCTAACAACACAATTTAAAAACTGGTTTAAAGTTCGAAGTCTCTGTTTTCACTCGAGAGTCAGAGAGGGCGGATCTTTACAGATAGAGTTTTTTTCTTTCTTCCTAAACTTTATTTAGATCAGCCAGCATTGACAACACTGTGTGGGTGACGTAAACGGCTCTGCGACACGGCGAGGGACGCATAAATCACTCAGCACAACGAATCGATAATGAAATTCATTGCCAACGCTTTTAATAATCGATTTTTATTGATTATATTGATTTGTTGTTGCAGCCCTAAAAAATGTTAACATGATATTATGGAAAAACAAACAGAATAAAACACATGTAACACACAAATACAAACACCAACTCCAACACGTTCAGAAATTCAAGTCCATTATTCACAGTTCATAGGTTTAAAGTTGAATGGTGCAGAAGAAAATAGTTCCAGTATGTCTGAAGTGGAACACCTGTTCAGGTAGAGTCCTTTGTGTGTCAGTATGATTGTTACCAGAACACATGCAAAGAGAGACGGGCTGATTTCCTGCCACAGTGTGGTTCGTAGGTAGCTCGCCATCATTTGAAGGAGGTGATCAAAAAACCTGACCTACCAGGTCAAAAGTATAAATTAGATACACGTTCAATTAAATTGTCTTGAGCTTTAATGATTTGTAATCATTACAAAAAAAAGGTATGCAAGTAAAAAGTACAAATGTTTTTTATCATAACATAAATCATACTTCACAGTATTTGACTTCAGTCATTATTCAAAATAAAGTAAAGTTTCAAAATGTTTACTCACATTCAATTTGAATAATTGTTGTGCAACAGGTTCAAAGTATGTAGCTACAAATTCAACCAGGGTTAGTACAAAACAGTACAGAACCATCATTGTCGCCTTAGCGGTTGGTCAAAAATATCACAAAATACCATAATATGTTCAAACACAATAAAACAAAGATGTCCTTTAATTATTAAAGATATGGCCTTTTATTCGGCTTACTTATCAAGTCAGTTTATCAAAGTATTAAATTAATACATGATAGGAGAGGTCAAACTGACCTGGATAAAGTGCTAACTAAATGAGCCGTTTGCTCTATGGAGTATTGTGTAGCAAACACTTGTTTCTGCAGTTTGTGCAGCAATAATCCACTAAAAAGGTGTTTAAAACAATGAGGCAACTCATCGATGAGTGGATGATGGAATGGGTCAAAGTTAATGAGTTGTAGAAGTCGCAGAAGTTCTTCAGCAAACAAACAGCAGCAGAGCGCAGCCACAGTGAGCGGCAGCAGGAAGCAGGAAGTGGTCACACTGTTAACATTGGACCTGGTTCTGTGTCCTCAGGACCACACGTGTCTCCTGGAGGCGGACATGTTGGAGTACATGCCGGTGTGTAAAGGTGTGAGGCGTCTGTCGGGTCAGGGTCACCGCCTGAGGCTGACCTTCTCCTCCAGAACCGGGCTCTGCTTGTGTGTTTACCTGGCGGTCCCGCAGAGGGGCCAGTTCATCATCCTGCAGCTGGTCGGAACCGACAACAACCGCTACAGCCTGGAGCACATCTCCTCACTGTTCAACACGCAGGTGAGACCCGCCTCACGGCTCTGTGGGCTCAGAACCACAGCCTGAAGGGTTCTGTGCTGTGAAACTCTGGTTCTGTCTTCAGGAGACTCTGGTGGACTTCACTCTGACCCCCTCCGATGTCTGGGCCCTGTGGGTGGACGAGTCCGGCAACACTGTGGTCAAATATATCAACTTTGAGCAGTAAGTACTGTCCTCGCCTGGTTTCCACGCAGCGGTTCTGATCCAAACTCAGCTCGTTTGTCTTCACAGCAACACGGCGGGCCAGTGGAACCAGGTCTTTGTTCAGCCTCCTCCTCCAGAAGAAGTCCCCGTAGGGATGGACCTGGACCCCCGGGTACGACCTACCACAGATGTCTGGTTTCACCAGACTTTATGTCCTGGTGAAGACGGGTAGTTCTGGTGTTTTGGAACCATCAGAACTTTCTCATCTCTCTGTCTCGGTGCTGTTTTCAGGAGATGTACCTGGAGGTTCTGTTCTCTCCTCTGAGGTTCACAGCTTCAGCCATCGTTAAAGCTCTACAGGTGAGTCCACCTGTCTGAGAGCAGCTTCAGGTGGTGGTTCTGTGGTTCGGTGGTTCTGTGGTTCTGTGGTTCGGTGGTTTGATGGTTTGATGGTTCTGTCCTCAGATCTTCCATCGTGGTTCAGAGACAGTCTCGGATCTGTCCTGGGAGAACCTGAAGAAGGAGGTGACTCAGGCGGTGGAGAGTGAGGTAACTGTTTACATTTCCCAGAATCCTTTTCATCTTTCTGTTCTCTCTGATTGGCTGTCAGCTCCATCTTCTTCCCCCAGCTCAGAGGTCAAAGTTCATCCTCTGCTTGGCTCCAAACCTCACGTCTTCATCCAACTTCAGACAAAAGATTCACTTATTCCTGATAAATGTAACCTGTCCTGTGGTCCTCTCACCTGTCCTGTTGTCCTATCACCTGTCCTCTCACCTGTCCTGTGGTCCTCTCACCTGTCCTGTGGTCCTCTCACCTGTCCTGTGGTCCTCTCACCTGTCCTGTGGTCCTCTCACCTGTCCTGTGGTCCTCTCACCTGTCCTGTGGTCCTCTCACCTGTCCTGTGGTCCTCTCACCTGTCCTGTGGTCCTCTCACCTGTCCTCCAGTTGCGGAGCAGCGTCACAGAGTTCGAGTTCTCTCAGGAGGAGTACCGTCAGCTGCAGGTAGAGTTCTGGTCCAGGTTCTACTCGTGCTGTCTTCAGTACCAGGAGGTGGAGTCATCTCCTCTGGGTCTGACCGTCAGTCCCTACACCGGCATGGTCTGCCTGCTCCGCAAGGTGAGCCATGGGGGCGGAGCCTCATACTCCTTCATACAAACACGTCAACGCCTCGCTCCGTCGGGTCGGGTCAGCGCCGCTGACTTCCTGTCCGTGTGTTTCAGGGCTTCGTGTCCTTCCTGCTGCCGTGTTTTGCCGTGGATCACCTGTACCTGTCCTGCGACGAGTACCTGCTCTACGAGGAGGAGACGCCCGTCGCCGACGGTAACCTTGCCCTCTTCAGATGCTGGTCTCTGCGGTGGGCGGGGCTTCTGCCTGTGTCACAGCTGATTTTTACTTTTGTTGTTGTCCTCAGCCCCCGACGTGGCCCGAGACGTCCTGCAGCTGGTCCAGAGCCTGCGCCTGGTCAGCGACGCCGTCTCTGCAGAGATGGCCTACGAGATGGAGAGAGCTCTGGAGTATCTTCAGACCCCCGAGAGAGCGGCCCAGCTGGTTCTGGAGGACCTGCTGTGCAACGACACGTAGGTCACATGACCGGTGCCGCCTGGCAGGAACCTGTGGACTGTCACTAGGGACGCATGATAACTTATTTTAAAAACCAATAACTTTCTCCTAACGACCGATAACCAATAACTGATAACATGCCAGGAGATAAGACCCGTCAAATATGGGTAAGATCACAACATAAATAAACAACAATACTGTCAATTATACTATTTGAAATAAACTCTTAACAAGCAAACATTTCTTAAAGTATATCAAACAAAACAATTTCTCAAATGGTCATCTTTTTAAATAAGACACATTAATTATAAAAAAAGACCTTAAACACTGATCTGATTTAAACAAAAGAGTCATTCCACAAGTTCAAAACAGATAATGCACTAACACAAGGTAGATTAAAAATTACATTTGTTTTTATTAATATTAACATATGATGTAAAACATTTTTCTACCTGAAACAGCTTCTGAGAGTGTGAATGCATTACGACCGCATCATACTTACAGGAAGACACACAGAGAGGTAGCAGCTGTTCAGCTTGGTAAACCTTGGCTAACGATGGTAAACCGTGGCTAACGAGATAAAAGCTTTGGTCTTTAGTGAGGGTGAACGGCTGCTTGTCATCATTTCTGTCGTTAAATCGCTTGAGTTCTGCGTCTTCTGGCAATTTGTTTTGATTTGTCAGAAGCCTCAGCAATGATATAAGTCCCGATGAGTTCTTGAACGCTAGCTTGTTGTTGTTAGCATTTTAGCAGAACAGACTTTGTGCTGCATTCAGGAGGTAACGGACTTTACATGTTCTCAAGTTGGGAGTAGTTCTGATGTTTACGTATAAGTATAAAGTTTGTGTGTAACATACAGGGTTAATTGGTAAAATTATATTAATAGTTTGGTTGTTTTTCAGCACGGAGTATTTATTTCTTTAGTGAGAAAGTTGTTTTTTCCGACACCACTTGAACGTTGCATCGGGTCGTGCCGGACAGGAAGCAGCTTGACCAAAAAGAATAAAAATAAACACGCATTCCCACCGCCGCGCTGGCAAACATGTACATATATTATCACTTCTGTTTGTTATGATATCGGACCGATAAGTATGATGTCATTATGATATCGGACCGATAAGTATGATGTCATTCTGATATCAGACTGATAAGTATGACGTCACAATTCCCTGATATCGGCCCAATAAGTATGACGTCATAATTCCCTGTTATCGTGCCGATAAGGATGACGTCATAATTCCCTGATATCAGGCTGATAAGGATGACGTCAAAAATCCCTGATATCGGGCTGATAAGTATGACGTCATAATTCCCTGATATCGGGCTGATAAGTATGACGTCATAATTCCCTGATATCGGGCTGATAAGTATGACGTCATAATTCCCTGATATCGGCCCGATAAGTATGACGTCATAATTCCCTGATATCGGCCCAATAAGTATGACGTCATTATGATGTCGAACTTATAAGTATGACGTCACAATTCCGTTTTTGTGCCGATAAGTATGACGTCATAAATCCCTGTTATCGTGCCGATAAGTATGACGTCATAATTCCCTGATATCGGACTGATAAGTATGACGTCATAATTCCCTGATAGCGGACTGATAAGTATGATGTCATAATTCCCTGATATCGGGCCGATAAGTATGATGTCATAATTTCCTGATATCGGGCCGATAAGTATTGTGCACCCCTACCTGTCAATCACGCTCCCTCATGGCGTCCTGTCTCCTGCAGCGATAACGTCATCGTGGACATCCAGAACAAGCTGCAGGACGTGCGGAACCCGGCGGCAGCCATGATGGTTCTGCTGAGGGAGATGGACCTGGAGACGGACTCTGATCTGGGTGTGGACGGGCCCGTGGTGGCAGACCTGAGCGTGAGGATGAATCTGTCCCGGCTGTACAGCAGCAGCTGCGCCGTGTCCACCATCTGCCAGGCTGTGTGCCACACCGCCATGACCCGGGCCCGTTTCTGCAGAGACCTGCTCATCCTGCAGAAACTCTACCTGCGCTTCGGAGACAACGTATGTCCACACACACGCTGCGTTTGGGTTCCACCTGCAGGTTCTGAGTAATTACCTGTATGTGTGTTCAGGTGTTTCTGGGAGGCGGGGCCCAGCTGCTGCAGGTCCAGCAGGATCTGATCCCTCGGACCTCCCACCTCCTCTCCTCCTATCACCTCCTCAAACACGTCAGTCAAAGCCTGGCGTCCTCCATCCCCATGGACACCATGTGAGTACAGGTGAACAGACAGGTGAGCTCAGGTGTGTCTTCTGTCCACCTCTGAACAGCTTCAACTTGTTGTTTCAGTGACGTCAACCTGCAGCACCTCACAGCGTTGGAGCTGTCGGACACACCGAGCGTCACCTCAGGTAGATCAGGTGAGTCCTAGAGGGAGGTTAATTTTTAACATGTTCAGCTGGAGTCCAGGATGAATCATTTTTAATTTTACCTTCATATTTCACCTTTTTAAAAGGGTTTAATCTGTCATGTGACCAGGACACACCAGGTCAGGTGTTTACCAACTGCCAGAGGAGGCGGAGTCTCAAATGACTCAGGTCCACTCTCTGGTTCTGCAGACAAAAGAGGCGGAGTCTCAAATGACTCAGGTCCACTCTCTGGTTCTGCAGACAAAAGAGGCGGAGTCTCATATGTCTCAGGTCCACTCTCTGGTTCTGCAGACAAAAGAGGTGGAGTCTCATATGTCTCAGGTCCACTCCCTGGTTCTGCAGACAAAAGAGGCGGAGTCTCATATGTCTCAGGTCCACTCCCTGGTTCTGCAGATAAGAGGCGGAGTCTCATGTGTCTCAGGTCCACTCTCTGGTTCTGCATCCAGAGGATTTGGAGTCTCACCTGTCTCAGGATTAGTCCACTCAGGTTCTGGTCTCAGGTCCACTCCCTGGTTCTGATGGTGAACGTTCTCTGCAGCTCTGAACCCTCAGACGGTGGTGGAGCTCTTCTATCAGACGGTCGGCAGGAGGATCATCACCTCGCAGATGTTTTCCCAGCAGCCGTGTGACTCTCTGCTCCTCTGGACTCAGCTGACCTCCAACATGGTCCACCTGCTCGCTCAGCTGCTGTATCCTTCCTCACGGCTCCCACCGCGTACTGTCCTCACCTGCAGGTCCACCTGACAGGTCGGGTTCTGGTCCGTTCTGGTCCTGCAGGTCTGTGCTCTGTTGTAGGTTTGCCTTAACTGGTGCATCTCAGATGGCCCAGTAATCCTGGTTTCCAGTTCCCCGAGTGCCTGATGGCCAACTGTCAGTTCAGCCAGCTGCAGGTGAGTCACCTGGCCCTTTCACAATAAAAGCACAGAACTGAATATATTAAATAAAAGCATCGGTTTGTCTCCTTGAAGTTAAAATCAGCATCTTGAAGATGTTTCTCAGGGTCAAAGGTCAACAGGAAGTGAGTTTCAGACGTTTCTGTGGTTCTGATGTGGGTCTCACCTGTGCAGGAGTACGTGCGTCTGATTGGCCCGTGGTGCCAGGTGAACATTGGCTCGTGTCGCTTCGTCTTGGCTCAGTCCTACCTGGCCAACGGTGAGAGTCAGAAGGTACGTGGCCGTCGTGACACCCACCTCACCTGCTCGTAGCCTCACCTGACTGTGTGACATCACTTCCTGTCGCCTGCACCAGGCCCTGCAGTGTTTCCAGGAGGCGGCGTCCGAGGTGGAGAGGGAGGAGTTTTTGATGAAGCTGACGGCCGGCGAGGATGAAGAGGCGGCGTCCAGCCCCAGGTTACAGTACTACAACAAGGTAAGGATGCTCAGGTGTTGGAGCTGCTGCTCACCTGTGTGATGTCACCGACAGAGCTTACCTGTTCCATGTGACACACCTGTGCAGGTTTTGCGGCTGCTGGAGGACGTTGGTCTGCCTGAACTCGTCATCCAGCTCGCCTCTCTGGCCATCACAGAGGCCGCTGGCGATGCCCACAGTCAGGTAGGAGGCGGAGTTCTCCGGTTGTTATGGAGACAGATGAACAGGTGAGCATGTGTGTGTTTGTGTGTCTGCAGGCGGCTCTGTGGACCCGGGTCTTCAAACATCATCTGGACTTGGGACACAACAGTGAGGCTTATGAAGCTCTGACCCAGAATCCTGACAGCAGCATGTATGTTCTGACACACACACACACACACACACACACACACACACACACACAGTCTACTGGTTGTATGCCATGCGACACGTGTGTTTGTGTTGCAGGCAGCTGGATTGTCTCCGTCAGCTGGTGGTGGTTCTGTGTGAACGCTCTCAGCTGCAGGACTTGGTCCAGTTCCCCTACGTGAACCTGCACGATGAGGTGAGACCTCCATGTGAAACCTCTCACACCTGAAGCCTCGGAGTTGTTCAGGTGTAACGCTGTGGTCATGTGACCCTCAGGTGGTCAGCATCATCGAGTCTCGTGCTCGCGGTCTGGACCTGCTGACCCACAACTACTACGAGCTGCTGTACGCCTTCCACATTGGCCGACACAACTACAGGAAAGGTCAGGCTGCAGACACACACACACACACACCTGGCTTTAATGTGTGTCTGCTCCTCACTCTGTTTGTGTGTGTTTGTGTGTGTCTCAGCCGGGACCATCATGTTTGAGTTCGGGATGCGTCTGGGTCGGGAGGTTCGGACTCGCCTCGGCCTCCAGAAACAGGTGAACTGTTACCTGGCTGCCCTCAACTGTCTGCGCCTCATCAGACCGGAGTACGCCTGGATCGTGCAGCCGGCGTCTGGGAGCACGGTACGCACACACAATGACACACACACGTGTTAACGATGACGCACTAAGTGTGGTGTTGTGACTGACTGTTTGTGCTGCAGTACGAGCGTCCAGGAGCGTCACCAAAGAGGAACGCTGACGGAGAGTTTTCTGCTGAACCAGGTGAGTCCGTCTCACTGAGGTCTCTGCTGGAGTCTGTTGTGAGTCTGTGACGGGTCTGTTAACTGACTTGGAGTCTGTTGTGGGTCTGTGACCTGACCTGGGGTGTGTTATGGGTCTGTTGTGGGTCTGCAGCTGCAGGTAGACGTCAGGTGGACATCCTGGAACTGACTGACCTGGAGAAGGAGTACTTCCTGTCCCGCGCTCGCCTCACACTCGCTCAGCACCACCCCCCGTCTGCAGCCATCGCAGGTGTGTGTGTGTGTGTGTGTGTGTGTGTGTGTGTGTGTGTGTGTGTGTGTGTGTGTG